GCTCTTCTGATTACTGAGGCTATTTTGTCGGCTAATTCTGGACTTCCCAGGAGGTACTTAGGTGCTAACCACTGTGAGAAACTGTCATCCTTTGGCTCTCAGCAACCTGTTTGAAGCTTCAACCTATACACAGTTTGTATCATTCTCCATAGGACTTTATGTGGGAGAGTCCAGCTGCACGCCAAGGCCATTTTGTTAGCAGCTTAGGACCCATTTACGTGTCAGTAGCCTTCTGCCTCCACCTGTCTTTTCCTGACAGCCAGCTGTCAATCTTAATCATTCAGTCTGTTTCTGAAAGGGCTTTAGGCAGAATCAGGAGTACAGACCTCTAGGTCTTCAATGAGGGGGAGGTGTCATTCAGATTTCAGGGAAAGTGATGGGTGTGTTTCCCTGTTCCAGAGCTACTCCTCTGAGAACGTCTCAGAATATTTCCCTGCCTTTGGCTGGGCAGAGATCCTACTATGCAGTCCAGTGGGATCAGCTGGAAACTGGGAGTTTCGGGAAAGCACCAAATTCCCAGGATGTGGGGCAGACAGCCCTACCCCAAACCAGTCACCGATGCTCCCTGAGACTGTTCAAACCCACAGGCTTGGCCTCTGCTGCTGTCTCCCCTGCAAAGGTAGATGCATGGTGTGGCAGGCAGGGCTCCTGAGCATGGGGCGGGTAATATCACTAGAGCAGGTTTTTTCCCCCTTTTCCTGACTATGGTTCTGGGAGGGGCTGCAGCACCTCTCATGAAAAATGGGTGTTTCAATTTGGGGGGGATATGACCAAATGCAGGTCTCCTGGTCACTGCTTTTCCATGTCTCCAGAAGGACAGATTAAAACCATTTTCCAAGCTCTGCATTTAAGACCAGCTATAAAACTTGCGTTGCCCACATTATAAATTAGATACAAACATTGCAGTAATGTTCGGAGTAGTCTTGTAAAGCAGTCTTCTCTTGACTTCAGAATAGGCAGAGTAGGTCAAGTAGACAAGATAATTGGGAATTTTAGCTTTGCCACCAGAATGATGCACCAACTACTCAGTCACTCACAGATTGAGAAGAACTGCGGGTTGCCAGGATGAGGCGGTGGTGAGCATCGACAGGCCCTGCAACAGTGAGACTGCCCCTCTTTGTGGGGCTGGGCAGCATGGCACTGATGTTGTGCCCCTGCAGCCTGGCAGTCCATTGTTATTACAATATTATTGACTGGATTCCTTATGCTGTACTTTATATCTCCACGATTTTTCTGTAACTACCAATTTGTACTTAATCTTTTTAAATAAAATCCCCCAATCCCTATCCTATTTGGAAACTGTCAAAATGGTGTCTGTATCTATGAGTCTGTTTCTGTTCTGCTACTTCATTTAGCTTTTTAGATCCCACATATAAGTAAAATCATATGGTATTTGCCTTTCTCTGTCTGACTTATTTCACTCGACATAATACCCTCTAAGTTCACCCATGTTGTCATTTTTTTTTTTTTATGGCTGAGTCATATTTGATTGTATATATGCACACTTCTTTATCCATTCATCTATTAATGGACACTTAATTTGCTTCCATATCTTGGCTATTGAAATAATGCCACAATGAACATATGGGTGTATATTTCTTTTTTTATTTAGTGTTTTGGGTTTCTTTGGATAAATACCTACAAGTGAAACTGCTGGGTCCTTCTTTGTCCCTTGTTATATAGCTTTGTTTTAAAGTCTATTTTGTCTGGTGTAAGTATTGCTACCCCAGCTTTTGTTTGTTTTCATTTTCATGAAATATTGTTTTCCATTCCTTTCAGTCTGTTTGTGTGTTTTGATCTGAAGTGAGTCTCTTTTAAACAGTATATGTAAGGGTTATGTTTTATTATCCATTTAGTCACTGTATGCCTTTTGATTGGAGTATTTAATCCATTTGGATTTAATGTAAAGTATATATATGTGTATCCATATCAATTTTATTATTCATATTTTCTATGTTTTCCTCCGCCTTTTCCTTTTTCTTCTTAAGACCCTTGAATATTTCTTGTAACACTGGTTTGATGGTAATGAACTCCTTTAGCTTTTTCTTATCTGGGAAACTCTTTATCTGTCCTGCAATTCTAAAGAATAGCCTTCCTGGGTAAAGTAATCTTGGTTGTAGATCCCTCCTTTTCATCACTTTAAATATTTCATGCCAATCCCTTCTAGCCTATAGAGCAGGGGTCCTCAAAACTATGGCCTGCGAGCCACATGCAAATACAAATATTGTATTTGTTCCCGTTTTGTTTTTTTACTTCAAAATAAGATATGTGCAGTGTGCATAGGAATTTGTTCATTGTTTTTTTTTTAAACTATAGTCCAGCCCTCCAACGGTCTGAGGGACAGTGAACTGGCCCCCTGTTTAAAAAGTTTGAGGACCCCTGCTACAGAGTTTCTGTTGAGAAATCAGCTGACAGTCTTATGGGGGCTCCTTTGTAAGTTACTAACTGGTTTTCTCTTGCTGACTTAAAGATTCTCTCCTTGTTTTTAACCTTTGGCATTTTAATTATGATGTGCCTTGGTGTGGGCCTTTTGGGTTCATCTGGGTTGGGACTCTGCTTTTCCTGGACTTGTTTGTATTTCCTTCACCAGGTTAGGAAAATTTCCTTACCTTCTAAATCACTGATTTGATCCTCTGCTTCATCAACTCTACTCTTTTTTCAAAAAACTGATATTCTTTATTGTTGAAAGTGTTACATATGTCTTCTTTTCCCCCCTTGACCTCTCCCCAGCCTCTTCACCCCCCAGCACATGCCCTTACCCTCCTACTGTCTGTATCCATTGATTATGCTTATATGCATGCATACAAGTCCTTTGGTTGATCTCTGTAAATTATTTTTCATTTCAGTTATTATATCCTTCATTTTGCACTGTTTTTAAAAAAATAATATCCATGTCCTTTTTGATGCTGTTGAAGTTCTTGCTAAGTTCATCTACTCTTCCCCTAAGTCATTGAGAATCCTTATAACCAGGGTTTTGAACTCTGTATCTAGTAAGTTGCTTGTCTCCATTTTGCGTAGTTCCTTTTCTGGATTTGTTCTGTTCTTTCATTTGGGACATGCTTATCTCCTAATTTTGGATGCCTCCCTGTGTTTGTTTCTGTGTACTAGGTAGAGCTTCTATGTCTTTTGGTCTTGTTATGGAGCAGAACTTGCGTCAGTGGGGCTTTGGTGCTCACTGAATCTGCCTCTTTAATGTGTCGCTCATGGATGTGTAGAGTTGTAATCTGGTATGGTCTGAAGCTTTCCACTGGCTGCACTGGTTCTAGGGCCTCCTGGTAGTCAGCCACTGCCTGGGACTACCTGGCAGGAGCTACAGAGAGGTCTGCAGATGGCTGCTACTTGTATTAAGCTTGTAAGTCTCCAGGCAAGGACCAGCTGTGTAGCAAGAAAGGCTGGTGCTAGTGCCAGTCTTGGGCCTCTTATTGATAGGTTTGCAGCATGCTGATGCCAGCTGCTGCTTGTTTGAAAGATTTTAAAGTTTGAAGCCTGAACCAGGACAGGCCATTCATATAGAAAAGCCACTACAAACAGCTTGGGTGGGGCTGCAAATTGGATGGGGCGGGGTCTCAGGGAATCACCAGGGCAGAGGGAACAGTGAGCCAGGTTGATGGAGACTCAGATATGGCCCCTGCTGGTCAGCTCTGTGGCATGGGAGATCCCAGCACAGGAACAATGACTCCTGTGAGCACCCCTATCTGAGAGAAAGCTGCCCCTGAGTTCTTGCCCTGATGCCCGACAATCCAATTCTTCCCCAAATGTCCCTGGTTCCTTTCAAGTCATGGCCCCAGCACTGGAGCCAGAGGGATTGAGTCTGAGCAAGTTCATGCGCTGGCCCTTTAAGAGGAATACCTGGGTCTGCAGTAGCCCCCAAGTCCCTCAGCCACAATTCCCCACTGGTTTTTACAGCCTGAAGTTATGAAGACTTCTCTTCCAGCTCTGGAACCCTGGGCTGGAGGTCTGGTGTTGGGCTGGGATTCCTTGCTCCTCACTGGGGGGTGGGGGTGGGGCTCTGCAGCTGAGATATCACTCCCGATTAAGAAAACAGCACATGTGGATATCCGACCAGCCCATTCCGCCCTCTGCCCCTCCTACCAGTCTCAATGTACTTTCTTCTTTACTTTTCTAGTTGTAGGACTTCCATTTAGCTAGCTTTCAGGAGGTTCTGAATGATGGTTGTTCTGTATTTTTGTTGTAATTTTAATGTGGTTGTGGGAAGCTGCATCTACCGGCATTTACCTACACCGCCATGTTGGTTCTCTCCCCTACACTTGATACTTTGAAAAGACTGTAAAACTTTCCGATCACATCTTCAAAGCAAAAACAAGGTAACCACATTTTGAAAGCAAATATGGAATTTAGACTTAATTATCCAAGATAAAAAAGTCTAAGGTAAAAAATGTATCTTTTATGAAAGGCAGACACTTAAAAACACATTAAACTTCTAAATATTCTTGGCTCAAATTTAGGACAAATTATTCTTTTAAATAAGTAAAGTTAAGTACATTGCTACTCCACATACTTCATGGAACATGGAAATATATTTAAAATGCTCCCCTGTATGTTAATATTATTCTCAAAGCCATCTCTACTATATTAGTGAAAAAGTACTATGTTGTACACAATTAACTGCTTCTTAGTTTCCATGGGTCACAGGACTCTCAAATTAAAATTAAGTCTATAAACTAACTTATTCTCTAAAAATTAAGTCTGGAAAATGACTAAATAAATTACTTTGTATAGTGGAAAATTATAATTATTTGCCTATTAGTACAATCCACTAAAGAGTATGAGTCTACTGAACTTCCTCCTATTGGAAACTCACTTTTGACAGAACTTTATCCTAAAACTAGGATTTTAGTTATTGTTTTTCCTTTATGCCGGAGCAGAAAAAAAATTCAACTTCATTTTACTGACAGAAGGCCCAACATCACTCAGTTAAGTTATAGAAGGCTGACATTTTGAAAATTAACAGATAGTAGTTTTTGGCCCGTATGGGATACCTGTTCTTTTATTTCTTTCATTTTTTCCAATCTCTTGAGTTTTGTTGCATATTCTTGAACTTCTTTTAATCCAATATCTGTGCAGAGACGAACCAAGAAACGCAGACCTAAATTGTAAAAAATATATTTAGAAAAGTATTTGTGTATTGTGTTGAAAGTATAACAAATCATTAACCACAATCTTTTGGGACACAGGAATGATGCTCATGAACAGTGATTGTTTCTCTCTTGAAAATTGTGTTATAGAATTGTGCACTTGAATCCTATATAATTTTGTTAAACAATGAGAGCCCAATAAAATTTTTTTAAAAAGTATCTACACTCTGTATTTTCTTGACCTGGCAAGATGGACTTCCCTGAAAGGGGTTTAAAGGGACTCTCTTGACTCTGGCCGAGTAGCTCATTTGGTTGGAGCATATTGTCCTGCTACACCAAGGTTACAGGTTCGATCCCCAGTCAGAGAACAAACAAGAATTGACCAATAAAAATATAAATAAATGGAACAACAAATCAATGTTTCTCTCTCCTGCCCACTCTCTCTAAAAATCAATAAATTAAAAATAAAATAAAAAAAATAAAGGGACTCTCTTCACTGACCTGTCCACACCACCTATAATCAGAGCCCTTCCAATATTATGCTTTACCCTCCGTCTGCTTTCCTTCATGGCACTTCTAACTTCTGACATATTCTACAAGTGTGTTCTCTTGTCTTCCCACTAGCAAGCTCCATGAGGACAAGGACTTTCATCTGTATTGTTTTCTGCTCAGTGCTATGCCAACACAGTAGTTAAAAGAAGTTCAAGAATATGCCACAAAACTCCTTAAGAACTTGTAAATAAATGACCTATTCATGACCATTGTTTTGCAAAGTAACAGTACTAAAATAATTTAAAATGTCACATTTTAGCATATAAATTGCCTATGCATACATTAGTAATTCATAATAAGGTAATTTACATTTCCTATAAATAATACACAACTATTAATTTTTATCTACCTATCCTTAGAGTGATTTAGGAATATTTAGTGTAAAACAGAAAATTACTGTTTTTGGTAGATGTCCTCTGAAATTCAGTACATCAATTGTAACTCCATAGTGCAGGTCAATTTTTGGTAAATGAAGAATGTATTTTAAGACTAAATTATCTGTTGGGTTCACCGGAAAACTACTCTGCTCAAAACAACACATTCCATGGGTGCAAATGTTTTCCTAAGACTACAGTTAAGATAGACTATTGATGACATTTGTTTTGAAAATTATTCAGGCCAAGGTCATCTTGAACATTCCCTGTGGCACAGGTAAACATTCATTTAATATTTAGAGTAAACCTAAACTCTCCATAAAGAAAGACATTTGGCGTTGCTTGAAGACAGTCCCTTTACTGGTCCAGTGCCAGGTGCTCAGGTTACTGCAGTGATTCTGAACAGGCAGCAATCCCACCCCCAAGGGACACTTGGCAATGTCTTGGTATATTTATGTTTTTTATAACAACAGTGCGGGGGTAGGGGGGAGTGCTACTGTCAACTAGTGGGCAGAGGCCAGGAGTACTGCTAAAACACTGCAATCCATGGGATCCAGAATGGTCCAGTCCCAACATCAGTGGTCCCGAGAGACTTTTGCCCAGGTGACTTTTGGGTTGCATCATTTCCACAGAAAATAACACTGCTCTCTCATTTAATCTCTAAAGCACCGATTCCCTAATGTGACTGAGAATGAGAATCAAATAATAAGCTTAAATAGGGAAAATTAAATATCTGGGTTCACAGCAAACCTACGTGAGAATCTCTATAATAGGGCAATAAAACTGTAGTTTTTGAAAGTGTAACAAGGAATCCCTTCCAAGTAACCTGTTTCCTGACTGGCTTTGGAAACCACTATTGTGGGTTAATCAATCTGCTCTAATTAGCACTAGAAATTCCTTACTCCTAAGCTACCAGTAACACCGTATCTGTGAGCCAGCTGCTGCTGAGTTTTTATAAAAGCCAAAGTGAGGAAAATGTTAATTAAGGAAGGGGCAGTACTTCTAATCCCAGGATCAGGCTGGGCCACTGGGAAACTTGGCTCAGAAACATTGATTTTACTGAGTTGCAATGTGCTGTTTTGTGTTCATTATCACTGAAGGACAAAATTAAAAATAGTCTGTCCAAGTATGCTATTTTATTTGCTGTAGGGATGTTTTAAAGCAAGGAGCTGCATTATCTTTCAATGACTTTATCTACTGTATCTCTCAGTGTCTCCGCTTGAATGAATTACAAGTTGAAAATGTTTCTTCTTCCCAAGGAATTGCCTTTTATTTCCTCATAAACAGTAAAGATTATAGAACAGATTGTCTTTTATCTCTTTCCCGTAGCCGCAAGGCTATTCAGGGCCAAATATACAGTCTAGTGGAGATATACTGCATATGAATATGGTTATTTTGTGTTTTTCCTGATCCTGATTTGTTGTTATTGCTGTAATACTTCACACTATTTTAAGTTACATCAAATCCATTGTACATCAAGATGGGGAATATAAATCTGTTTACTTTTGAAGAGAATTCAATGGTTCTCTTCAAATGTAAATCCATCAACAATTAAATTCTATAAAAATGTGTATAGTCAGATTCTCTGATCCTGTAAACTCCTATTTAAACATATTTACCACAATTATAACTTGGTATCTATGTATGCAATTACTGTAGCAAATGTAAAATAGGGTATAAAACATGAGAACCTATACTTTCAAAGCTACAAAATGTAATCTCACTTACATTCAACATTTTCTGGAAATTTTCTGTGAATATCTTTATAAGTATCTAATGCTTTTTGGTAGTTACCTACAAATAAAAAAAGAAAGAGAAACACACTAGGAGATTATAGAAATTAATAGGATTCAGCAAAACAATTTTAATCCAATATACTGGCATCACTTAATAGCTTTAGCAGGAAGAATTTTTTTTTTAAGCAGGAAGACTTTCATGTTTGCCTCAAGCATGTGTAACAGTTCTTAACATAACTTTTGGAAGAAAATGTATAGACAAAACAAATTTGAAAAGGTTTAGAGCAGAAGGAAATGAATAGTGGTTAACGATTAGTTCCACTTCTTAAAATAAATGTTTGTGGTACAAATTAAGATCCATTTAATTTCCTAAAAATTGAATATTTCAAGTGAACAACTGAAAATTTAGAAAAATTTACATGATAGAGTTAATAACTTCAATGTCATTCACTTAGTTGGAAAAGATGAAACATTTTTTTGTAGTTATCATTTTGAAACATTAAAATGTTTATAGGAAACATTTTGTTTTGTAATAAAATAATTGAGCTTCATGAAACAGCAAAGAATTAGATAAATGAATTTTGGGTCAAAGGTCTTGACTAAAATCTCAGTGAATGAGCTAAGAATCTCTCTGGGCCTCAGGTCGCAAGAAGGATGGCTGTGCTAACCTCAAAGTGTTGTTGTGAGAATGAAATCAAATAGAGAGGAAGCATCTAACTCATAGCAGGTTCTCGATAAACATTAGTTTCTTTTCTAACCTGCCCTTCAATAACTCAAGAAGGTGTATGTCTTTAAATTATTCAGAATACCCCATGTATGTACATTCTACATATGACTGATGTGGAAATGAACAGAGGCAATCAGAACTCAGCTGAGATAAATGAAGTGTATATGTTATACGTTATTCGATAGGACATACATTCTCATTATAGATTAACCCTCTCAATGACTTGAGGATGACACAGAATACGTATTTTGATGGCACTCTGAAGGAGCTCACAGAGATCCATCAAGAAAGAAGCTACAGCACTAGGCAAGAGAACCCTGTTAACACTTTTATAACAAACTTGGGGCCCAGTGCACGAAATTCGTGCACTGGGTGGTGGTGGTGGGGGGAGTGTCCCTCAGCCCAGCCTGCCCCCTCTCACATACTGGGAGACCTCAGGAGTTGACCCCCATCACCCTCCAATCGCAGGATCGGCCCCTTGCCCAGGCCTGACGCCTCTGCCAGAGGTGTCAGGCTTGGACAGGGGACCCCCATCTCCCCCCATCACTGGCTCTGACCCCCGCCCAGGCCTGATGCCTCTCGCCCAGGAATCATGCCTGGGCAGGGGACCCCCCTCTCCCCCCCATCACCGGCTCCGCCCTTGCCCAGGCCTGATGCCTCTGCCAGAGGCGTCGACCCCCATCACCCTCCGATCGCCTGATCGGCCCCTTGCCCAGCCCTGACGCCTCTGCCAGAGGTGTCAGGCTTGGACAGGGGACCCCCATCTCCCCCCATCACTGGCTCTGACCCCCGCCCAGGCCTGATGCCTCTCGCCCAGGAATCATGCCTGGGCAGGGGACCCCCATCTCCCTCTGATCGCTTGCTCCACACCCCCGCCCAAGCCTGACGCCTCTGACCCAGGCTTCAGGCCTGGGCAAGGGGACCATCATATCCCCCCAATCCCCAGCTCTGCCCCCCACCCAGGCCTGATGCCTCTGGCCCAGGCATCAGGCCTGGGCAGGGGACGCCCAGCCCCCTCCGATTGCTGGCTCCGCCCCCCGCCCAGGCCTGATGCCTCGGCCAGAGGAGTTGACCCTCATCACTCTCCGATCGCTGATCACCGGATCGGCCCCTTGCCCAGGCCTGAGGCCTCCGGCAGAGGTGTCAGGCCTGGGCAGGGGACCCCCAGCTCCCCGAGATCTCCCGCTCTGCCCCTGCCCAGGCCTAACGCCTCTGGCCGAGGCATTAGGCCTGGGCAGGGGATCCCCAGCTCCCCACGGTTGCAGGCTCCGCCCTTGCCCAGGCCTAACGCCTCTGGCAGAGGCATTAGGCCTGGGCAGGGGACCCCCAGCTCCCTGCGGTTGCAGGCTCTGCCCCTGCCCAGGCCTAACGCCTCTGGCCGAGGCGTCCAGCCCGGGCAGCGGGACCCGCAGCGGCAGCGGCGCCGCGATCACGCGGGCTCCGCCCCTGCCCCCGCAGGACGCCTCTGGCTGAGGCGTCCGGCCCGGGCAGCGGGGACCTACAGCTGCAGCGGCCCGCGATCGCTGGCTCTGCTTTAGGCTCAGGCAAGGGACCCCTAGCTCCCGGGACTGCCAGCTTCGACCGTGCCCAGCTTCCATCGCTGGCTCCACCCCTACTTCCTGCTATCACTGGCCAGTGTGGCAAAAGCGCCCGATTCTCCGATCATGGCTTGGAGGCCGCCTTTGCCCTGCCCCCCGACTCTTAGCTCCCCCCTGGGTTTCCGATCACTGTCAGTGGCAGGGGGCTATTTCCTGCTTTCCCTTTCGCCTCCCTGCATTGTGCCTACATATGCAAATTAACCGCCATCTTTGTTGGCGGTTAACCGCCATCTTAGTTGGCAGTTAATTTGCATATCGCCCTGATTAGCCAATGAAAAGGGTAGCAGTCATACGCCAATTACCATGTTTCTCTTTTATTAGTGTAGATAGTGTAGATGCTTCCCTGGGATTGAGGAGTTTCTTTTCCTGGGTCATATGTATGCTCTACAAGAGGGATCACATATTTGTTTATGCCATCTCCTGCTCAATCTCTGTATTTTAAACATCATTCATGTCAGTTCAAAACTATTAACATCGCTACCCTTCAAGGACAGGGGTCAACAGCACAGAACCTAGTAGAGCAATTGCTGGAAACACAAATGATACCTGGTATAAAAATATAAATCCAGTGTTCTAGTCCTGGGCCTTCCTCAGGAAGTTGGAGATAGTCTCATTAATGTGGCCACACACATAGGACATTTAGAATTAGGTGGCAGAAAATGGAATATAAATTGATTTGTACAGAATGCCTGTTTTTTCTGTGGCTATTTTGTGAAAATGATTACATGTTAACTTTGAGAGATAATAAATCTGTGTCTAACAGTGGTGCTGAAATATATGATTAAGACCCACTTTTAAAGCATAACTTTTTTCTGTCTGTAATAATTATTATGTTTTTCATATAATGCTTCAAATATGTGTAGTTATCAAAAGTTAATGTTTTAATAAATAAATATGCAATTGGAATACATTTTATGCATAATTACCTAAAAGACAAAAGCAGTAAAATATGTTAAAAATAAATAAAATAAAAGCATTTACCACTTCTTCTAAAACAACTAGCTACCATCAGCTGCCATTTCACTTGCGTGGGTCTATAAGAGAAATAAATAATATGAAATTAGAAAGGAAACAAAAATAATCTGAGATGGTCAAATATATTTATAAAGCTACAAATATGTACTATCTTTCAATTACTTTTTGACCTCTGATTAGATCATCTTTATTATTGAAAAGAGCATACATACAACTTCCTTCCTTATTATCTGTCATATTTATATTAATACATTTAAATTTTAGAGCCCTTCAATCCAGTTCATGCCTTTATTTAGAAATTTTTATGAGAAACTTAAACCTGTTTGGTTAAAGAGCACTGCATTCTATTTTTTTATTATTAAGTTCTTTTTAAAAAAATAATTTTTTATTGTTGAAAATATTACATATGTCCCCCCTTCCCCCCAATGACTGCTATTTTTAAACATTATTATTAGTTTTTCCATAATCTTATACCTAGGCTTAGAAATCTAGGCTTAGGCTTGCAAATTTAGCACCTAAGAGGCAATTTTTGACCTTGTGTTTGAACAATGAGGCTTCAACTGAAGAGAGAATAAAAAGAATTCTAACCCTAACTGGTTTAGCTCAGTGGCTAGAGCATTGGCTTGCAGACTGAAGGGTCCCAGGTTCGAGTCTGGTCAAAAGAACATGCTCGGGTTGTGGGCTCGATCCCCAGTAAGGGGCGTGCAGGAGGCAGCCGATCAATGATTCTCTCTCATCATTGATGTTTTTATCTCTCTCTCCCTCTTCCTCTGAAATCAATAAAAACATAAAAAGAGAATTCTATTCATCCCTCCCTTTCCCTTAAAAATAATTTTCTAAAATAAATAACCATAATCAGGATTTATATAAGAAAAACAAGATATAAAACACTAGGGAATAATTAATGCTCTTCTCATTTCCTTTTAGAATCTCTCTTCTATTTACTTGATGGCTTTATAGTTATGGCTCATACTCAATTGGACGGTAAACCTACTAGCTCTCGAAATACACAGGTCATAGCCCTGCTACCTATGCAAGTTACTAGTACTCAACCTCAAATCCACTGCCTACACAGCCATCTGCTTTCATCTACATAAAATATGTATCTAACCATATTATTTTCCTCCTTAAAATCCATCACCTCTCCTTCAACTGCATGATAATCCAAGATCCCAATCCCATTTTCTCACTTTTTGTCATCTTTTGCCTCTTCATGAGTGTTCCACCATGCTCTGCTATGACAAATTCAGACAGGAACACGCATGCCTGCATGCTACATGTCTACACTCCAGTCCTCGGCACAGGCCAGCCCCTCCACATGAAGGCTTCTGCTGACCTCATCACACTCTGCTGGGCAGGCTGGGATAGACTGTTCCATGGACTTGCTCAACAGTCAACAGTTTCTTTCATATGGCACTTAATATTCTGCAGTGTTATTTAGGTTTCTGAACCTTATTAATCCATAAACTTGTGAGGGTAGCATAGCTTTTGTAAATGAAGGACTGGGCATGACGCCTGACACATAATGGGTGTCAATATTCACTAAGTACTCCTTCTTTGCATATTCTATTACATATCTTGATTGCTTCCTTCAAGGTCAGGACTGTGAAATTTTTAAAAATATGTTTTTATTGATTTTTAGAGAGAGAGGAAGGAAGAGGGAGAGATAGAAAGATCGATGAGAGAGAAATAACGATTGGCTGCCTTCTGCATGCCCCCTACTGGGAATTAAGCCCACAACTTGGGCATGTGCCTTGACTGGGAATCGAACCTTGACCTCCTGATTTCAAGGTCAATGCTCAATCACTGAACTATGTCAACTGTGCCAAGTTCATTTCTTGAATGAATGCCTATTTTTCTCCTCCATCCTCATAGTAAAGAAAAATACCATTATTTTACCGATAGTTGAAGATATATAAAATAATGTACCAAAAAATTATAGAAAATTGGCTATAAATTGCCTAGCACAGTATAATAAATACAGAGCTGTACTAAAGGCTTTAAGTATTTTAAATCTGCAATGGTTTGGCTTTAAGTTAGAGAATGATGGTATTTTAGAAATAGAAGTGGCCTCAGATAGTATTTCATTCTATCCATTCACCTTAAAAAAAGAAACAGACCAGCCAAGGGTAAGAGCTATGTCTAAGGTCACACCCCAACAGTATATACCAGTATAATATCCCATATTAATCCCTTATTTCACACTTCCAGAAAGCAATGAGATGAAGTTTGAAAATTGCCACCGGGGAGAATTATTTCTGTGTTTGGAATAAATAAGAACCTGAAAGAGAATCATGACTTGGTTTTAAGAGGGCAGAGTAAAAACTTTTTACGTTGCAATGTCTCTTCTAGAAATTAACCCCAAAAAACAAGAAGGAGAAAGGCAGTGTCAAGCTCCACCTCACATGAAACTGGAATGGTATAAAGCCACAGATGATGGGTGATGGATGAAGGAGATAGAAACTGCCTTCAGCAGGGCAGAAAAAGCTAAACTCAAGGGTGTATAAAGGGCATGTGAGGAGAAGGAGATCTTCCCTGAAAATCTCCAGAAATGCTGGAGAACTGGAATCAGCAGGACAGAGAAGGGAGGACAAGGCAAGGAACTACAACAGGAAGACAGACTAGCAATGTTACTGGGAAGTAGCTGGCCCCCATGCTCTAGGACAGCGGTTCTCAACCTGTGGGTCATGACCTCTTTGGGGGTCAAACGACCCTTTCACAGGGGTCGCCTAAATACATCCTGCATATCAGATATTTACATTACAATTCATAACAGTAGCAAAATTACAGTTATGAAGTAGCAATGAAAATAATTTTATGGTTGGGGGTCACCACAACATGAGGAACTGTATTAAAGGGTCGCAGCATTAAGAAGGTTGAGAACCACTGCTCTAGGAGTTACTCAGGGAGGCTGTAGTCAGGGTTCAGGCTGGTTTGAGATGAGACATGAAAACTGGAGGATGAAGTGAGAAGTCACTTCTGGAACAGTGAGGCCCTAAGCCCGGGCCCTTCAGCTACTGGAATGGCAGCAGTCAGGTTGACACTTTTCCTTGAACATATCAAATGGCCCCAGAGAAAAGACTTTCGAATTTTAAGATGACAATCTCAGTGACAAAGCCATATGATTAACATGCTCTCTTCTAGTGCAGTGTTTGGTGGAAGGTGCCATTAGCATTTGGGGTGACACTGTTCACTATGCAAATCCTCTACACATTACTGAGTATTCACCATCTCAGGCAGCTGCACACCTAATACCCACTGTGTGTCCCCATCATCAAGACCATAAAATGCCCCTCCCCCACATTTCCAAATGGTGCCAATAGGGTGGGGCAGTACTCCTTTCTTGGCTTGTATTATATTTTTTCTTTAACTTTTAAATCTTTCACTGTGAAGTATAACACATGGAAAAGCACACAAAACATAGCTGTACAGCTCCGTAAATTGTCTTAAAGTGAATACACAAGTAACTGCTCTGCAGTTCAAGAAACAGGACACTGCTAAGACCCCAGATGTGTCCTTCCTGCTCCCTTCCACCATCCCCTCCTTCACCTGTGACGGTAACTATCATCCTGACTTTAAAACTGCTGACTTAGTCTGTTTCTGAACTTCACATGAATGAGCTAACATAGCATGTATCCTTTTGTAACAGCTTTGAGATATAACTCATGTAACATATAATTCACCCATTTAAAGTGTGTAATTCAAAAGCTTAGATATATTACATTAATAATTTTAAAAAGTTATCATTAAAACAGATATAACAAAAACTTGTCATTTTAACCATGTTTAGGTACACAATTCAGTGGCATTAATTACATTCGCAATGTTGTGCAACTATCATCACTCTCATCTATTTCCAAACTCTCTTACCAAGGCAAAGAAACCAGCACCCCTCCATAAAGTGGAAATTCTGATGTATGGCACAGAAAATAAATGCTCAGGAATAGGAGAGGTAACCAATGCATATGGAATGTCTCGGTCATTTAGTCAGAAGGAGGCAAATCCAGATGCAAGTGGAAGCAAATTTATAGGGAAGCAGGGAGAGGGAAATATTAGGGGAGTTCCTGGAAAAGGCTTTTATTTTCAGGTAAACTGAAGTATAAAATGAAAGTTGAGGTGATCTGTGAGGGAAATAAAAAGGGGAGTTAAAGAGAAACACATCAGATTGATGAGCACTGTTCACATAACACAAATATGTGTGGCATCAGTTTACCTATGTATGATAGATCTTCCCAGGCTGCAAACAAGAGTGAAAAGGCTGTATCAACCCATGAAATTTTGGGGGACAAATGGGACAGCAAAATAACCAAAGAATGTTGGCAAGAAAGAGCACAGATGTGAACAACGAAGCAGCCTAGGAAGAATGGGTTCAGAACTAAAGCCTGGAGAACCTGTGAGAGGAATGAGGGTCAAGAGACTAGAGGTCTTGGTCTTACCTGAGAGAGGTACACTGGAGAGTAGGGGTGAGGGAGAAGAGAGGTTATGTTTAGACAGCTGGGTGTTATAATAAAATATTTTATTGGTAAAAATATGCTGGGTGGTAATCAATCAGGTAAGATCTAGATGGCTAATCTAGATCAATGAATTTGGGGAGGTTGACACTTGTGAGGCTAGACTACTGATGGGATAGAAAGAGCATGAACTAGACGAGGTCAACATGTGACATTCATTTGGGAACCATGGTAGATGGAGTTTCAAAGGAGGAAGGGTCTTACCTGACAGGGTTAGAATTAGGATCTAATCTAATAAAAGAGAAACATGCAAATTGACCACACCTCCGCTATGCCCCAAGCCATGCCCACCAGCCAATCAGAGCGACTATATGCAAATTAACCCAACCAAGATGGCAGCTGGCCGCCACGGAGCTGGAGCAAGCAGGATGCTTGGTTGTCCCAGTGATGGAGGAAGCCAAGCTTCCCGCCTGCCCTGGCAGGCTGTGGCCTCCGCTCAAGGCAACAAAGTTTCAATTATAGAAGATAAATAAATCCCAGATACCTGCTTCCAGCCAACCTCCACTGGGAGCTTGGGTGGCTGGGGGCCATGGCCAGCCTGCAAACAGCAATCAACCCCTCACCCAGGATGGCCACAGCCTCAGGGGGTGAGGGTCCCCGCTGGGGGGCTTGGCCAGCCTGCAAACAGCCATCAGCCACTCACCCAGACTGGCCAGCACCCCAGCCGGACCCCCCACCCTGAAGGGGATGTGGCCAGCCTGAAAATGGCCCTCAGCCCCTCACCCAGGCTGGCCAGGCACTCCAGCAGGACCCCCATCCTGATCCGGACACCCTTCAGAGCTAACCAGCCAGCCCCCACCCGTGCACCAGGCCTCTATCCTATATAATAAAAGGGTAATATGCAAATTGACCCTAACAACAGAATGACTGGGAATGACTGGTCACTATGATACACACTGACCACCAGGGGGCAGACGCTCAATGCAGGAGATGCCCCCTGGTGGTCAGTGTGCTCCCACAAGGGGAGCTCTACTCAGCCACAAGCCAGGCTGACGGCTGCCAGTACAGCAGTGGTGGTGGGAGCCTCTCCCACCTCCTCAGCAGCACTAAGGATGTCCGACTGCAGCTTAGGCCTGCTCCCTGCTGGCAAGTGGACATCCTCCAAGGGCTCCGGGCTGCCAGAGGGATGTCTGACTGCCAGCTTAGGTCCAATCCCCCCGAGGAGGAGGCCTAAGCCAGCAGGTGGTCATCCCGAGGGGTCCCAGACTGTGAGAGGGCACAAGCCGGGCTGAGGGACCCCCCCGAGTACACAAATTTTTGTGTACCGGGCCTCTAGTTAAGTATAATAAAAAAGTTACAATGCATTATCTCTGCAGCTATATCTAGAGCATATAATTAAAGTTAAAGCTATCCCCCTATGCTTTTTGTTTTATAATTCTCAAAATGTTTAGTGAAACAAATGTCATAAAAATTAATTATATAATACAAATTATACTCAGAGATCACTTAAATTATTAAGCATTCCTTTATCATTCAAATGATTCAAAGTCATATTTAATGTTAAAATTAAATTTGGTCAAATACAAGGCAGAATATTATATACTAGTATTTCAATTATTTTTGAAACATACATGTACAAAACACTGATATAAAATTAAAGATATCTTTAGAAGTTTAATTTTTAATATACAATGTATATCAATTATAAATTGAAACTTATTTCAGAAATGAAACTTTGTTCTAGAACTGAGATAGTAATTTTCTTTTTTTCTGGGGAAGTAAAAAAAATTTTTTCTTTTTCTTTTTTTAACTTTATTTTTCTCTTTAAAAGTTTTATTTTTCAATTACAGTTTACATTCAATATTATTTTGTATTAGTTTCAGGTGTACAGCATAGTAAATAGACAATCATATAATTTATTAAGTGCTTCTTTGATATTTCCAGTGCTTACCTAACACCATCCATAGTTATTACAATGTTATGACTACATTCCCTATGCTGTACTTTATATCCCGTGACTATTTTGAGATAGTAATTTTTCTGGCTGATAAAGAAACAATACTTGTTTGCTGAGATATGAATAAGAAAAATACATAAAGAAAAGTATTTTAAAGCAGTATTTTAAAAACTTTTGCATAAAAAGGAAATATATTTATCACAATAAAGACCAAGTAAAATGGAACATAACACAAGAAAATGGAAATAATGAATGTTCATTAATATTTGTTCATGAACTTAATGTGTCTATCAAATTCTAATTCTATAAATAAAATAAAATCCCATCAGGAGACATTAAATTAAACATAAACATAAATATGGTTACTTACTGTATAAGAGCAGCTCTTTCAAAGTACTGAATGGCTTTTTCACAAAATTGGGTGTCAATATAATAGGCTCCAAGCCACTCAATGACTTCAATGTTAGAAGGGAAATACCTGTATGACTAGAGAAAATACAGAACATGACAATACAACTTCAGTTGCAATGCATAATTTACTTCTTGGACATTTTACCTATTGAGTGATTAATGCATCCAGTATAGAATTTCTTAATAAAAGAAGTATAAGCTGTCATGTGCACTTCAAAAGATTTTGAAACTATACAAGATTTAGAAAAAAAGACTTGTTTTACACATTTTTTGACTATCTGTATCTTTTTTATGTACTGATACATAATCTGAGTCAAATTAAATATGTAATAGAATAAAAAAGACATGAAAATCATGTGTCGAGAAAAATGAGTCTGTACTAATTTCATTTTTTATTAAAATTAATAAACAACTTTATAGTCCACAAATGTTTAATTTTAAATTTTTATTCATTTAAAAACTAATAAACATTTCTACAGTGTAGTGATGGCCAGAGAGAGGGGGGCAGAGGCTGGTAGAAGGTTGGTAGAGGGGCGGAACATTGGGGGACATCTGCAATAGTATCAACAATTTAAAAAACTGTAAGTTAAAAGGCCACTGTATTTTATAAAACAATTCATAAAAGCTAAAAAGTAGAAGGAAAGATTATCCGCCTACCTCATAGTAGTATTGAAATGCTTGCGACTTATCTCCTTCACTATCATATAATTCTCCTAGTTTAGACAGAGCTCTAGAATCAGTTGGAACAACACTGATCAGCTGCATTAACCATTCAATAGCTTGACTGGGATCTTCCATTAATTCATATCTTGGACAATTTCAGTTAAGGATAACACAGTTATTCTGAATTCACTGATCAATAAGCAAACCTAAAAATGACATTACAACAAAAATGATTCAAATGATTCCCTAGGCCAGTGGTTGGCAAACTGTGGCTCGCAAGCCACATGTGGCTCTTTGGCCCCTTGAGTGTGGCTCTTCCACAAAATACCGACTTCTGCGCATGGGCCACGAAGTTTCAATCGCACTGTACGTGTGCGCCCACACGTGGTATTTTGTGGAAGAGCCACACTCAAGGGGCCAAAGAGCCGCATGTGGCTCGAGAGCCACAGTTTGCCGACCACTGCCCTAGGCTATAGTGATGTACTATCTAATACTATTTATTCTGGATTTCCTTAGGGATGAAAACGAAAAATGGAGCAGCACTGTACGTGACTCTTGTTCCATATGTACACTTGGCTTTTCCTTTGCCTCATTTCCATCCATAGTATCGATTTCCAAAGCATTGTCCAAAGTTTGTCCTTAATAAAATGCCTGAGTGTTGTATTCAACCATCCTATCTCTTGTAACACATTCAACATATTCAGGGCATAGTTTCATGTATTTTCCTAATTAGATTATGAGTCCCACATAGGGAGTTCTTTTTTTTGTGCTTAGTAGGTCCTTTGCATACACTCAGACACCTTGTTCACACCTATTCTAATCCTTTTTTTGAAAAATAAGAGTCTCCTGTTTTTAATGATGAAAAATGTGATACCATAAGGAATACACAAAAATAAGGAAATATATTCAAATAGCCTTAAGCATATCAATTACTTTACTGGGTCCAAATTGATCATGATACTGGCAATTTCAGAGAAATAAAACAGACAAAACAAAAAGGCTAAAAGAAATAACTATTAAGTAATTTGCTCTACAACTAAATATTTTAATAAAATTTTTTAAATCTACTCTACCAATAATATGGCAGATACTACTTAAACTTATTAATGGTGCCCTGGCTGGTATTTCTCAGTGATTAGAGCACCAAACCATGTGCCAAAGAGTTGCACTTTCGATTCCTGGTCAAGGGCACACACCTGGGTTGAGGGTTCACTCCCCACCCCTAGTCAGGGTGTGTTAGGGAGGCAGCAAGTTGATGTGTCTCTCTTATGTTAATCTTTTTCTTTCTCTCTCCCCATTCCTCCCTTCCTTCCACTTTCTCTGAAAAACAATGGAAAAAATATCCTCAAGTGAGGATTAACAAAATTTTTAATGGTACACTTCATAATATACTTTTTTCTAAATGTATTTGCATAAAGTTTATATCAACATAATAATAACTTAAACCTTCATAAAATTTTAATCCTTCCCAAAGTTTTCAAAGCTTATTATCTCTAAATATAAAAGCCTAAGTGACCAAATGACCAGACAACTGAACGACCTGTCGACTGGTCGCTATGACACGCTCTGACCACCATGGGGCAGACGCTCAATGCAGGAGCTGCCCCCTGGTAGTCAGTGCGCTCCCAGAGCCAACCTCCTGTGGCTGGCCAACCTCCCACAGTCTCTCCCCCCGGCCAGCCGGGTGGTCAGTGCACTCCCACAGCCAACCTCCGGTGGCTGGTCCACCTCCCACAGTCCCTCCCCTCCAAGGCCGGCCAACCTCCCTCGGTCCCTCCCCGCCGGCTGGCTGGCCCCAGTTAGCCCCGATCAGCCCCAATCGCCAGCCAGGCAGAGGGACCCCACCCGTGCATGAATTCGTGCACCGGGCCTCTAGTTTTTAAAATAAGAAATTAAAGTGTTTTTTTTCAAATAGTGTCAAAGACATTAAAAACATTAACAGATTTCTGCTCTTCCAACCAAGAGCAGGGAAAAAAATCAACTACAGTAAAGCTAAGAGTTGCAGAAGAAACTGACAGGAGAGCAATGTTTTATATTTCAGCAGGTCCTGAATCCTAAGTAAAATATGGCACATACAGCCCACAGTCAATGAGTAGACTACTGAGTGAACAGAAAGAATAAGTTCAAATTCAATTAATAGTACTAATCAATAATAAACGGTATTTTCCTTTTAATTAGCTACTGCTTCAACAAAACCCTCTAAAACTCAGAGTTAATACATTGTAAACTATCTAATTTACATTTGATAATTAGCTTATGAGTACTCAACATATTATACCCAATTACTTTAATGATTATTTCTAAAAATTAATAATAGTTTTAACCTTTAAATAATTCCTCTTACAATGCAAATGATCCTTTAAAACAGGATTGCTCAAAAAATATTTTTATTACATATTAATCTATTAGGTTTTAAAATATTATCCTCATCAATTACTTAATTAGTTAAGCTTACTTAATAACTGGTACACAATTACCAACTGAATTAATTAATAATGTTCCCTAAATTTTTCATGTAAGATACACATTGGCTATTTGGTACAAAACTTGAGCGCTGTTTCTCAGGATTGCATGAAGCTTCAGGAAACAGTCCAAAGCCTCGTCAAGCCGGTTTAGCTTCTTATAGGTAAGGCCTTAAAAAGAAGGAAAGAAAAAAAGAAAAGTTATAAGGAATTTTCTCAAAGTAACAAAATGAACTTTTAAATATATGTAAATATTCATTCAGAAGAAAAAATAAAGATGAACAGGTTATTTTGTTGTTGTTAATCCTCACCAAGGATATTTTTCCATTGATTTTTAGAGAGAGTAGAAGGGAGGGTGAGAAACAGAGAGAGAGAAACATTGATGTGAGAAAGATACATTGATTGGTTGCCACCTGCATGCAACCTGACCAGGGCTGGGGATTGAGCCTGCAACCAAAGGTATGTGCCCTGGATCAGAATCGATCCTGGGACCCTTCAGTCTGCAAGCCGAAGCTCTATCCACTGAGCAAAACCAGCTTGGGTCAATTTCTTTTTTTAAAGAAATTGGGTCCTGGCTGGGTAGCTCATTGGTTGGAGCATCGTCCCAAGGTTGTGGGTTCAATCCCTGGCTGGGGCACAAACAAGGAGCATAAATAAGTGAAATAAATCAATGTTTCTCTCTCTCTTTAAAAAATAATGAATAAAAAATTTTAAAAAAAGAACAAGTTGGGGCAGGGATGTTCTACTAGTATTTGGTAGACACCAAAAAGTTTTAGTGATGGTAAAGTGTGGTAGAAAAAGGAAGAGGTAAAAACATTAATAGAATAGCATAAACAATTTAGAAATGGACTCAGTTACAGAATTTAGTTAATGGGCATTTAAAATTAATGAGGACTAAGGGGCTAGTTGAATATGGTGCCAGCACAACTGACTATGCATGAAGAAAAAAATGTAGATTCCCATTTTCAATTTACTTCTATTTTGAATAAATAGAAAATTTATTTTAAAACTAAACAGTAAAAACAAAGCTGTAAAACTACAAAAAAAAAATAGGAAAATCTTGGGGAAAAGAAGGACTTTGTAAAGCAACAAGCAAGTGAAGCCACATATTTTCTTTCTTTTTAAATATATTTGAATACATTTTCTTTTTTAAAAATATTTTTATTGATTTCAGAGAGGAAGGGAGGGGGAGAGAGAGATAGAAACATCAATGAGAGAGAATCATTGATCGGCTGCTTCCTGCACGCCCACCACTGGGGATCAAGTCCGCAACCCTGGCATATGCCCTTGACTGGAATTGAACCCAGGATCCTTCAGTCCACAGGCCGATGCTCTATCCACTGAGCCAAACCGGTTAGGGTGCCACGTATTTTCAAAAAGCAAAATTTGTATACAAAAATAGAAAAATTCTATTTGACAAAAGAAATTAAAAAGTCAAGCAATGAACTAGGACAAGTATTTGAAATGTATAAAGAGGATAAATATATACCAAGGCATGCCACCTCCTGCATGGAGACCTTTGCTCTCCACTTGTCAGTAATGTTAGTTTCCCAGATGTCCAAAAGGCAGTACCCTCCCTACCTTCCAGCATGACTGTAAATGTCTACTCAGGGAGGCTCTCCTTAACACCACCTAAACTGTAAATCCCCCTGCCTCCTTTCCTCTTGGCCCAGCTAGGGCTTTCTTTTTCAGTCTTCCCTGGGGGAGAGATCTGCAGATCCCCGATTGGACAGGTCAGATAAATGGCCTGTGGCAGGTGGCCCTCGAACAGCCTCATTCATGCCTTGGAGCTCCTGCTTGGCTTCAGCTGCATACTCCTGAACATGAGGACACAGCAGTATACTCAAACATCAGAGAAAAAGTCACAGTGAGAAAGAGAGGATAAAACACACACACATCCCAAAACGCAGGAAAAAGAAAATTGGAAAGCAAACTTCATAAATAACCCGAGTTGAGACATAGTACTGCATTGAACTATGTATGCAACACTGCAAACTCATGACAGGGAGGAATGCACTCATTTCAGGTGTCCTCTGACAGGGAACGGAATGAGGTGGTGAGTTTTCAGGTCTGGTGTCATTTTGTTAATCAAAAACAATCTGAAATAAATATTACAAAATGTTAAAATATACGAAATACTAGAGGCCCGGTGCATGAAATTCGTGTGTGGGGCGTTGGAGAGGGGCCTCTCAGTCTGGCCTTCACCCTCTCCAATCTGGGACCCCTCAGGGAATGTCCCACTGCTGGTTTGTGCCTGCACTTTTAACAGATGACAGCTCCATTGTTTTTTGTTTTTTTTTAAAATTAAATCTTTATTGTTCAGATTATTACATTTGTTCCTCTTTTTTCCCCCCATAACTTCCCTCCTCCCAGTTCCCGCCCCACCCTCCGCCCTCATTCCCCACCCACTGTCCTCATCCATAGGTGCACAATTTTTTGTCCAGTCTCTTCCCGCATCTCCCACACCCCTTTCCCCCCCAAGAATAGTCAGTCCATTCCCTTTCTATGTCCCCGATTCTATTATGATCACCAGATTATTTATTCACTTGATTCTGAGATTCACTTGTTGATAGATGCATGTTCGTTGTTCATAATTTGTATCTTTACCTTTTTCTTCTTCCTCTTCTTAAAGGATACCTTTCAGCATTTCATATAATACTGGTTTGGTGGTGATGAACTCCTTTAGCTTTTCCTTATCTGTGAAGCTCTTTATCTGACCTTCAGTTCTGAATGATAGCTTTGCTGGATAAAGTAATCTTGGTTGTAGGTTCTTGGCATTCATCACTTTGAATATTTCTTGCCATTCCCTTCTGGCCTGCAAAGTTTCTGTTGAGAAATCAGCTGACAGTCGTATGGGTATTCCCTTGTAGGTAACTGAGTTTCTCTCTCTTGCTGCTTTTAAGATTCTCTCTTTGTCTTTTGCTCTTGGCATTTTAATTATGATGTGTCTTGGTGTGGTCCTCTTTGGATTCCTTTTGTTTGGGGTTCTCTGCGCTTCTTGGACCTGTAAGTCTATTTCTTTCACCAGGTGGGGGAAGTTTTCTGTCATTATTTCTTCAAATAGGTTTTCAATATCTTGCTCTCTCTCATCTTCTGGCACCCCTATAATTCTGATGTTGGTACGCTTGAAGCTGTCCCAGAGGCTCCTTACACTATCTTCGTATTTTCGGATTCTTTTTTCATTTTGCTTTTCTGGTTGGGTGTTTTTTGCTTCTTCACATTTTAAATCGTTGCCTTGATTCTTGCGCTCCTCTGGTCTGCTGTTGGGAGTCTATATAGTATTCGTTATTTCAGTCCGTGTATGCTTAATTTCTAGTTGGTTCTTTATCATAACATCGAGGGTCTCATTAGTTTTCTTGAGGATCTCACTACATTTATCGGCGGCTTCTAGACAGTTTTTAAGAGACCTTAAAAGTGTGGTTCTGAACTCAATATCCTCCATTGACAGTTTTGTCCTGTTTGTCTCCGCATTTTTTTATCTTTTCTTGGTACACCCCCTAGTGGTCTTTGTGCGAAGTCTTGTTGTAGTTAAGCCTTGATTGTTGACGGCAATACCGGGGGTGATTTGACCTCCAGGCTAACTGGCTATGAGAGTCCGCTGTGTCTGCAGTGGGAGAGCTTCTGTGCTGGATCTCTAGGGCGGTGCTAATCTAGCGTTTGCCTGAGGCTATCCGGCAAATGGCTCTGTGCAGGGCTTGGGCGGGGCGGGTCCCAGGGGATCTATAGGGCGGGCCGGAGCGAGCAGTTATGGCTGCTCTCAGTTCTGTCCCTAGGGGCTCTGCCTCACAGAGTCCCAGCAACCGCTGCAAACCTCGAATAGAAAGCTGCCTTCAAGTTCCGACGGAAGCCAGACAGTCCCGCTTCTCCCGTTTGAGTCTGGGTCCCTAGAGACTCGCCCAGATCTGGAGCTCAGAGTCTGAAACTCCCTCCCGATTGAAAACAACAACCGCGCCCTCAGCCGCCAGCCCGCTCGCGCGCTCTCTGCACCTGAGTATTTCACTTCAGCACTGCGCCTCCTCTGAGTCTGGGTATGATATTCTCTTTCCTCCTAGTTGTAGAATTTCCACTCAGCCAGCCTTCCTGTGGGTCTGGATGATGTCCGTTCCATCTTTAGTTGTTTTTTGAAGTGGTTGTTCGAGGCAGGAATCTCCGGCGTTAACCTATGCCGCCATCTTGGTTTCTCCCTGACAGCTCCATTGTTGTTTCTTTCTTTTCATGCTTAAAACCATTGGAATTAGTAGGTATTCAAAGTGTGTATACATTTTGGGGGGACACCCTGTATATCTCTAGTCAGTGGTGAAAGGAACCAACAGTGGATTTGGAACCCCCAGAGGGAACCTCGCTCACTCCCTGCATGTCTCCCCACTCCGCTTTCCACCTTCACAGGCAGTGGGAGAATCAATGTTTTCTCTCATTAACTCGGAAAAGTACATCCTGTCACCCGCTGCCTGGCAGGAGTGTGCTAGGACCCACGTGAGTGAGGCTCAGTTAGGGCAGCCTTCGCTCATGGTGCCGGCACCCAAAGTGCACATTCCTCCTCTGCAGTCGCCCCGACTATCCCACTGTTTCACTGAGAGGATGGAACTCCTCGCCTCCTCTGGGTTCCTGATCTTGAATGCTGACTGAAGACACCTCAGCGAGGGCCACCCGCGCCCACCAGGTGTGTCTGTCTGCACCTGCTCCCGCTTCAGCACCTGCATTAGCCCCACAGAGGTGATCTCGTCACTGCACTGGCCTCCAAGGGAACAGGGCGTCACCACTCCGCCCTCTCACTGTCATCTCACAGGCGCCCAACCCCAGCACCCGGAACACCCAGACACTCTCCAAAGGATGTGAGTGTGCCGGAGGGGATGTGCGCATGTCCTGTGGGGGACGTAGGCATGCTGGGGTTGATGGAAGTGCGGCGGAGGGGCGGGGGGCGGGGGAGGAATTTGCGTGCGCCATGGTCCGGGACTGTTGCAGGCACGTGTGGGTGACAGTGTGCTGGGGATGTTCACATGCCGGGGGGGAGGAGAGGATGCACGCACCGGAGGCCTGTGGCTGTGCAGATCCACAAACCCCCGTGGTACGGCCAGGAGGACGTCAATCTGGCCCACCACGGTGGCTGACCCCCCAACCAAGGAAGCCAAGCCCCCTGCCTGCGCACGCTGTGCTGGCTTGGCTTCCTCGGT